ACACACACACACACACACAGTAGACTCAAACGTGTATACCATTTAATGTTTCTTGCATTAATTCCATTGCAGTAATCCATTACTATAGTGTCTACCTCGTGTCGTATCGTCACTGCTAAGCTTAGCACTAATAGCTCTACGTATTTATCTTGTGTGGCCGTGTGTGCGTTCGTGTATGTGTGTGCGTGGTGTGCGTATGCGTATGTGTGCGTGTATGTGCGCGAGGATGCGTGTGCGTGTTTGCGCGCGAGGGTGCGTGCATGTGAGTGTATGCGCGCGAGGGTGCGTGTGCGTGTATGCGCGCGAGGATGCGTGTGCGTTCATGAGCGCAATTGGGTGCGTATGCATGCACGAGGGTGTGTGCGTGTGCGCGTGCGAGCGTGTATGTGAGTGTAAGCCCGCGGGAAGCCCGCGCGTGATTATGTATACACACATTTGTATTCTCTCTTTTGGAACAGTCTAGACGTGCTCTTATGCTACACCTGGCTGAAGAGAAGCTGACTGCTGAAATAGAAGTTTTGATATTGGTATAGGAATCTTTTGATATAAAATGGATTAATATGTTCATAATATTATAGGCTGTGGCTACGCGTCCGGTCATATATTTTTTATGTAAACCCAATTATATATTTTTTCAGTAAAAAACAATAAACAATAAGTTTTTACCATAATATTGCTTACCTTCAGGTATTTTATCAAAAAAATATTACTAAGTCTTGGTTACTAAAGATCTAAATCTAAAAAACATTACTGTTCAATGAGATTTAAGTATTGAAATTAGGGGAAAAATGTAGGAAATTATATATGCTTTGTTCTTTTTATTGTTTATAGAAAAGAAAAATGTCTGAGAAGTTCTGGTCTTGATTATAGCTTTTAGGCCATATGTGTAAAAAATAATTCTATCTACTCTTAACGAAAGCAAAGCCAACATATTATATAACGACTAAAATTTCCATTTCTAAAATTGCATATCTACTGTCTGTGCAAACACATTCGGAATATATTAGAATTAGTGCTAGAGACGTTTAAAACGTGTATACAAAAGTTACTGCGTAAAAATTACATTATCATAGTTTGCCACAGTAGCTAGGGTGCATACAACAGTATAGGTTCCTTAGATACAATAATGTAACCCAAACACAGGATAGGGGAATTTTTGTAACAGGTTATATTAGTTTAATACAGAGTATTGGGATACATAGTAAGTTCCGGGATAGCGGAAAAGGGTTCGTGTTGAGAATAAACCCAGTTTGGAAGTTCTAGTCTCTGAAAACGCACCAGCAAACCGCCCTGAGTGATTCACTCAGGCGTTCCTCCACACAAACGGATAGACTCGCGTTGTAACCCTATCCTGTGTTTGGGTTACATTATTGTATCTATAGGCTCCTAAGCCTCGGCAAATTGTTCACTATATTTGGTCACTAGAACAGGTCTTTTTGGCATTTATTCGGTAAAATTCGGCACTAGAGTGTTATGCACATAAGTTAGATGCCTCGTGGACTTCTAGAAAGCATTAGAAGTAATATTGGTATTGTCGTGTAGTTGTGACGTTCCGTCAAGTGGCGTAGCCATGGTGACCGGTTGGCCATTTTTGTGTATGAAATTATCCGAGTCCCGACTACCTAGAGCTGGAAAAAGTTTCAAGCGGAGCATGGAGCATGAATCTGTAGTTATTTAACATGAATAAAGTGTATGTTATGTATGCGACGAAACCATGTGAGTATTTTTAATTAATTTCAGTTCGATGCTTATTCAGGCCTGCTGCCTAGTGCCTATATGGACGCCTTCTACAATGTACATCTTCATTCGCTGGGTGGCGCCACCATGCATAAATTACACTATTTTTGGCGTAGAGTCGGTGTCAGTCTGGCTTTGGTCTGTATACTCCCATACTATTAATAGTTGAATTACGCTTGATTACATCT